TTGACAGGGCCAGATCTTTTCCAGCTGTGCAAGAATCAAACAAATAAGACAGCTAAAAGTGCCCCCAGCTGGTAAAGCAGGATGCTGCCCCAAGAGCTCTTGCTCAGCTTCTCTTTACTCTTACCCAAGATATGCTTCCTACTCACTCTGTGGTTTTTCTGTTTTAGTTCCCAAACTTGGCTCTTTTTCTTCTGCATACGTGCTTCCCCCCTCTCAAAACTATGTAGTATTGTCCTTTAGTCCAAATTGTTCAAACATCCAAGAAGCCTGTATTTCTTTTTTTCAAGAATTGCTGACATGAGTGACTATCTTTTAAAACACAATGTTTCATGTAATTTTATGTTAAAGAGATTATAAAGGCCATCAGTAAAACCTCCTGATTTCAGGAAGGTTCACCTTGCTAGTTAATAATGTAATATTCAAGCACACACAATCTATCTTTAACCCAGCTGCATTTTCCCCTTCATTGACATATGAAACAAATAGCTTAAATTGGTCACAGGAGAAGAGACTTTATACAAATAATTGTAAAAAAAAAAAAATTAAGGGGAATCAGTAGTCCTAACTTTTCTTCTTGAATATTGTAAATTTTGATCTCAAAAAGAGATAAGCTCTGTGCCTATCAGGAGAGGATAAAATAACTTTTAAGATCCAATATTGCATAATGCCTGCATATTGGAAGGTAAGCACTTACATTCATTTTACAGAGACATCCTCTTTCTTCCCACTTTTATCAGTTCATATTCCAAATTAGATTTTAAAATTCTTTTAGTTGCAGAAGACACAGTGGCTGCTAGCAGGAAGCAATAGTCAATAAATATGTTGTAGGGTAATTCCATCACACTGAAGAGGAAAGGCTGAAAAAATAGGTTTATTTACATTTATTTCTGCTTTAAAAAAAAAAAAAAAAAGTCTTCAAGATGGCATTATAAGAATGAAGTTATGGTGTCCAAGTTATACTGAACCCTTGTGTCCAACAGTGCTTCTACTTGTTCTGGTCAGTGTTTAGTTTCATTTCTGCACACATCAGACTGGCATTCCACTTGTAGGTGTAGTAAGAGAAGACCAAACTTGAACTCCTTTTGTACAATGTAGTACTTTCAAGCTTGGATGACTACATTAAGCCAACTAAAGGTCAGAGCAGAGGAGCTGCCATTATGCTTGTTAGAAGAAACCCAAGGCCTCAATCCAGAAACGTATCAATGAAATTGCTTAGCTTTCAGTTGTGGAGCACTATACAGAAGTTTAGTGATACTTTCCTAGATAGGATCTTAAATATGGACTGGGTTTACAAGTACTTTACAGTAGATTTACTGGTATTGCTAATAGGTCTGTTTCCCTTTTTACTTCACTCCATAAAGCAGTACCCAGTCATGTACTTGCTTAATGCAGATGCAGTCCCCTTCCTATATCACAGCTGTGTCTGGGGCTGTATTAGCCCATTTTAAAGTTTTGTGCTATGTGATTTATGAGAATGGTATTTGTTGTCTCAAACAAAAGATAGTACCTCTAGCAGATGGGGCTTGCATCAGTACTGATCACCTGGACTCTTGTCTGCTCTGACTGAAGTTACAGGGAATTCCGGTCTTAAAGTTTTGCTAGTCTTAGCAAGAAGGTGTGGCAACAACGGGCTAAATGCCTGAGCTGGACTGAGCTGCTTTTTCAGACCTAAAGGCTGCATTTCCATGTGAGAACAGAGATGCTGTCATGCCAGCATGATGAAAAGCTGCAGTGTAACCATACATACAGTATCTGTTCAGGGGATAAAGAGAAAGTGTCACTTTCCAGAACTGCTAGCACAATACCTTCCCACAAGCATGAAATTGTCTCTTTTGGAGGGGGAAAAAAAAGAAGACAGACAAAATTCCCTAATTACCATATTATGTTCCTCATACTGTCAAGTGACCTACAACACTGTGGTGAAGCATGTGAGGCTGGCTAAATCCCACCACATTATATAATTTGGTGGTAACAGCAAACTAGGCATATTAGCCAAATGACTGAGCAGAGGTGGCATTTACAAATATGTCAGCTTTGTCCTGGACAATCTTAAAAGCAAAAAAAGCTAAACCAGACACTTCCATCATCCTGATTACAATCTTTGGTAATTATTTTACACCAAATTTTTGTCTGCAACAAGTGATTTTTCCCTCTATGTCCTCCTCAAACTCCAGCTGTGGGAGTTTTCCCACCTCCGGTGCCAATGATGGAAAGGGCAGAAAGAACTGCTGCTCTGGGTCACATGAATGATCACAGAGACCCTGTCCCCAACCCCAACTTCATTTTATGTATCTTAACATGAAACTGGGGAGGCAACATGTCCTTAACCTATGTCTCTTGCATACTATCACAAAAGTCAGTGAAGGGAGCACGTTCTCCATCTCATGACCAAAGCAATGGGCAAGCTCCCTGCATCCTACTGTTGTCAAGCAAATACTTGCTCATCTAAATTACATCTCAGAGATTTTTGGGGATGTGGCCTAAATTCGTACAGTGTGTGCAATTTAAACAAACTATGTAATTTCCTATTCAAGTCCAGAAAGCTATACTGCCACACTATTTCTATTCAAAAGATTTGCAGTCCAATTCATCTCTTGTAAGCTAGGTACCCACAGTAGAATGGATGACAAACTAATAAAAGAATGCACAGTCCAAATACAGTGAGCATACACTGCCTGCATACAGTGAATCAGTATATGATTCACCCACTTTCACAAAACAATCGTGACCTTTCATCTGACTACTTCCTCAAATGCTATACAGAGAAATATATATATAACATACGGAAATCAGGAACCAACAAGTTGGGGGAATAATAATAGCTCATCTTGTGATTTTTTGCTGTTGTGCTAATCCTTACTACACACTCTATCAAATATTTATGTCATCTCTTGCTACCCTTTGACTAATTAATCAGATCAACTAAGGCATGGGTTCCTCTTTGCTATGAAATGAGCAAAACCAGAGAATACCTAGGCTTTTGAAGTATCAGGCCCTAGAGGCCTCGCAAAGTGGTAATTAAAAAAAAAAATCATAAAGAGAAACAACGTTATATGAATAAATAATATACCAATCTGCAGATAGAGAATCTCTATTTTAAAAGTGACGTTTATTTTTACAACTAACTTTCCTTTCTGCCACTTACAATATAAAGCTGATAACAAGCAGCTCTGGGCACAAACATTAAATATTGTCAACACACAGAGCTTACACTTAGAATTAAGAAAGGTAAGGTTAACATGCTACAGCACTGCAGCACAGATCTTTTCACCACAACATGTGGAAAATTGCAGACAAAGTTAAACACTAGACCAAAATCCTCTCAAGCACCTATTAGCAATAACTCACCCCATTAGGACTTTTGAAACAATTAATTAAATATCAGAGAAAAAGCCCTGCTTGGTCTCTAAAAGATAAGGTAATACACGTCAAGAGGAAAATGTATTTTAAATTTTATGCAAAGCTTTGACAGGAAGATTAAAGCAGCACCTTTATAATCCAAACTCCAAACCAGCAGAGTTGAGAGAGAGGAGAAAGATCAGAGCCCCACTGAATTCTACCAGGTCATCAAACATAAGAAAGAAGTATATTATAAATCTGAGAAGCAAAGGCTAAATGTATTTTTCAAGGGACACCATCTGGCAAATATTTTGCAAACAGTGAAAAATCATGCATTTTTCTCTCAATATATAAGACTGTAAACTGGTGCTTCGCTGCACTTTTTTTTCCCTTCTAAATCAGATATTTCTTTGTAGTTCACTCTAGTCAGGGATCATAGCATTCTAGGGCCCATATAATTCGTCCCCTAAAACACAGAAGAGATGGTTTCTTGGAATGTCATGGTGCTTGATGCTCACTAACAGGTTACGCTATGAATTCATACCTGGGAGAGACAGCAGAGCCCACAAGTGCATTAGAAAATCTCCAGGGAGTGGCAGAATTGTGAAAAAGACTGACTACTAACAAGGCAAAGTCACCACAGAGATGCTTTGCAATTGTTAATGATTCAAATTTCCAACCACGTAGCTAGAGGCCTTTCTGCAACCCTCTGAGGGGTCACTTCAAAGCCATGGTACAGCATCTCCCTTTTCCCACGCGAACATGGTGACAGTTTGCATGACGCTTCTACATATTAGACAACACAGTGGATCAAAATGAGTCAACCAATGAACTATCAACTGAAATCAGATTTGTATTACAAAAAAAAAAAAAATCTCATCAATCCCATGAGGAATTGGGTCTTATTATCTTTGGCAGTGTATGAATAAGTAACAAAGAGCTCCTATCCCAAACAACACACCACCTCAATAGCTGACAAGATGCCACGGGAGGAGGAAACATAGAAACAAGATGGGGATGGATAAGCTTACAAATAGCTTGAACAGCAGAAGTCCAAGCTTCCCCTCTTCCTAACCATTTATTTATGTCCTTTGGCAGTGTGGCACAAATGCAGATGATTTAAAGCTACTCTATTCACCCTTAAAGGGAAAATTTCTTCTTCACTTGTTTTATCAGTAAAAGATTAGCACAGTTCAAGCAGCTCAGATGTTCAAATGCTGATGCAAATTTGGAAAGAAAGATATTTCGCTGTTACTCAAATGCTGCAACAGGCAGACACCCACAGGTATAGATGCAACGTGGTGAAATAACTCAGGTCTGCAGCAAAGCTTAATCACACTATCAAACACAGCTGTACCAGTCACATGCTGGGGATTTCCCAGCTGCAGACTCTATCTCCCAAAGCACACGTAGTTTGAAACAATTCAGTCACTATGTAATCAGCAACCATGTGACAATTTCAATTTCTCTTTCAAAACATCCAAACAAGTCTGGATTCAGAAAGACTCTGTGGCTCAGCCACTGTGACTCTTCTTAATGCTTTTTCTGCATTTATCATGTCAAATATAACACTGCTACTGCAGTAAGACTATACTGGCTTTTACAGAAAGTACTTCTATCATCTTCATTCAGGAAGGAAATAAACGTTCTTATGTACTCACAAGATCCAAAGATTTCTTCAGCAACATGAAGTGGACAAATCATATCAAGACCACAGGTTAAACATGTGACACTCAGGCATCAGTAGGTTTTGAGTCTCTATCACTGGAAAACGTCATATGAAATCTGTATAAGATGATGACCATTTTAACAGAGTACAAACCAGCTAGGAATTAGGAAAAGAAAAGCCCGTGTTTAAAATTCTTTGTACATTCTAATTTTGCTTGCTTATTGTTCTTCTTTTTAGTTACAAACCAGACTGCCCTGTGAAGGAAGAGTTAAAAAAAGAGGAAGAATTAAAAAAAAAAAAAAAAAAAAAAAAAAAAAAAAAAAAAAAAAAAAAAAAAAAAAAAAAAGAGGCAACAAAGTATCAAGACTACAATAGTCCCAGCAGTTATATAGACCCTTTTCCAGATGGAGGTGATAAAACCATTAATACTGATGCAAGAGAATCAGAAATTTTTTGAAATATTTCTATTTCATATTTGGACAGATGTTCTTATGTCACATAATGATGTCAAACTATTTACCAGTCCCTTAGTAACCAAGCAGGATGTTATATAACAGGTACTAGAAATAAACATTTTAAATCAGCCAATCCATCTACCTCACACCTAAGAACTAAGACTGAGGAGACCTGAGAACTAATCATGTTTATTTTAATAAATTAAGGCATTCCAGGGAAATTCCATTTGACTGGAAAGTGCTAATGTTCTGCCAATAATAATAAAGGCCAGCAGGATGACTCAGACACCTAATGGATAGTTAGTCTGACGTTACTTCAAGGTAATAAAGCTGTTATAAAATTAATAAAGAATTAAAGTACCGGAATATAATTAATATCAGTCACTCCAGTTTTGTGGCAAATAGATCTTGTAAAATAGTTATTGCATTATTTGATGAGACAGACATTTGGCTGATTAAACTAACTGTATATCTGCAATATATTTGTGGGAAGCAGTTGACTTACCAGCATATGACATTCTCATTATGAAAATTAGCACAGCACTATCAATAAAATGTGTTAAATGGACTGAAAACTGAATGATCTGACAAAGTAATAATGAATGGAAACTTGTAACAAACTTTAGGGCTTTTGTGATTTGGAAATAAATATAAATCATCAGTGATGTGGAAATAAATATATACATCCATGATAATAAAATCTGTGAGATTAATAAGACCGTGAGGACAAAAGCTTAAGATAGTCATGTAGAACAATTTGAATCACTTAATAAACCATGGCAGTTCTAATTAAACATGTCTTAATAGACCCAAATGCAAAGGGATTAGAAAAGATCCACCAGCAGCCACATCTCCTCTGTGGAAACACAGGGTCTGACAGGTACCAAGGACTACAAGCAACAAACAGCTGATACTGTAGCAAAAAAAACCCCAACCCTAATATGATCCTTGTATATATAGATAAAAAAGCAAAACAGCTTTAAACAGCTATGCAACACTGGTGAAACATGCAGTGAACCACTACATCAGGTTTCACATTTTAGAAAGAATGTTTTCAAAACAGAATACAAAAAAGCAGACAAAATTACTCAAAGAGAAAAGTGTCTTGCACTGGCATGTTTGAAGGAAAGACTTAAAAGTCCACTTGTTAACATTACTAACTAGCTTGACTTAATGTATCACAGAAAATATTGGCTCCTACAGGGTTCTTCAGCATAAACATAAAGTTCAGGTAGGAAACACGGCATATTAAACAACAAGTTATTTACAACTCAAATTACCATGGGAATTCTAAATAGCATCTTCAGTTCTTGAGGTCTTCAAGTCTGGATATCTTTCTGAGTGTTGTAGTGTAGCATGTATTTGCATGCTTACGACTGCAGTTGAACACAATTCTATACAGAGGTTACTGTATAATAATGACCTATGATATAGAGAGCAAATTAACTGACTTGGTTCCTTCTAGCTTTTTTTTACCCTGTGGATACAGTAAATGTATTTTACTATCTCTTCTGAGGAAGTAAGCTGACTCCGCTAATTTTGGACAACTCTACTTTGAGATCTGCCAGAAATCACTAAAGATTGTCAGCTCCTCAGGCTTATTGTCAGAACGGGTATTCCCTGGGAAGGCTATTCAAATGGTTTTGTTTAAAGAAAAGGTGGGGGAGAGGGAAGAGAAAATCCTAAACTTTATCTCATTGACATTAATACGTGATTTGTCATTGATTTGCAGAGGCAAGATCTGGAGTAGAGTTCACAACACTATGGAAATCATTCTAATTTTCTAATTTTGGTGTTCTTAATTCCACTCACAGTTTCTTCGGGACCAACTGCTTGGCTCTGTGTATGGTGTAATAATGACAGTCAGATCTGCTTTTCCAGAAATAACTGTGTCATAAGCTGCTGCTTCCTTGTTTTATCTATTTACAGACATCAACAAGCCTATATAAAGCCTCTCCATAATTTGTTCATATACAGTAGTTTTCCTTTTGGTACATTTTTAGATCATTTGCACTTAAACAATACTTCCTCAACCTACTGAACTTTGCTCTGGTACAGATGATCCAGAGAAATGCAAATACTGTACTGTTTAAAAGAAGACAGCCAACATTTTCCACAGGACTTGCTGAAAGGGTAGGGTACTATGAAGTACAGAGTTTAGCATGACTCCAAAGTGGTGCAGCATTCATGCTTACAAACTCTGCATCTGCCCTCTGAGTTGCCTACAAAGCAAGATAGGTGTAAATTTATCAGTGTGCAAGAAGCAGAAGCTAACTCATGATCCCTCAGTTTTCTAATAAATGGTGTCACTTCAAAGAAAATAGCTTTAAGTCTCTTTGCAAATAATTTTGTCAAAGGGAGAATTATAAGAAATGACTCATCAAGGAAAAGCACTGTGTCCGTGTGCTCCTTTCCTTCTTTGGTGCAAGGTACAAAAAAAGCTGTAAACATTTGGAAGGGGAATTTTCCTAAGGCTAAGTTGTTGTGTGGCTTCAAGCATACTACCTTAGAATCTCAGGAATGTCAAACCTACCCTTTTGCGAGTTTTCCTGTGTAGAGGATATAAACAGCCCCAACTTCTGGTTACTGGCTCTAGTACAGGAAACCTTTCTATCAGATTCTGCCATTCCCCACAGAGAAAGAGGTGTGGCTAAGCAGACGTGCCTGCAAGACTTTTTTACTCTAAAAAGCTTGACTGCTAAAGCAGCAGACTGGACAAAAGTCACCAAGGACTGTGGAGACATGAATTTTTTTTTAACATGGTTAAAGTACAAGCTAGATCAGTCCCAATTACAGTACTGGGTACTGTTGCATGAATAGATTTCCCCTCACAGAGTGTAAAGTACACCAAGAAAAATTCATAGTGGTTTTGAAAAACAATTTTCAGCTACCTCGCATGCTACAAAAATTCTTCTGTTCTGATTCTGTTTTGATCCCAGGCAGCTAACGTATATCTTACTGTGCAGAGACTTGTGTAGGGAGAGAACCTGTTAGCATGTCGCTATTGGATGAAAAGACTCTTTATGTGCAACTTTTCTTTTAAAATGCTGATTAGCCACATAATTAACAATCAGAATATTGAGGAGAAAAGCACTTGGAACATCTGCAGTTTGCAATGATTCTATCTGAGTTGATAATCTACCGTGCGTTAGAAATTACACACATCTCACTACATCTTAGCGAGGAAAAACCACAGCAATTTCATCAGATACCAGATGATATACAGCAGGTAAATAAAAACATTACAATGTTAATTTTTGTGCTTTCTAAGTGGAAATTATTGAGATACTGTATTTAACAACTATTTATTTTGTTTTTCAGCATAGTCTTAGATTACTAAACCATCTTGAATGGTGATTTTAAAAGATGTTCACAAACTAAATACAGTTATAGAAGGACAACCCCAGAATAGGAGACCCCAAAGAACTAAGATATTACTCCAAATTGTATTAATGGTTCGGATGGATGCCCCTTTTCCTTATGACTCAGTATAGGGCTATATCCCCCCATATTGTTTGAGGAGTACCACATCACCAGAGGTCATACATCTGCTAGCATTTTCAAGAGGAAAAAGAGTGATAGAGGCCATGATAAATATCACTTCAGTAAAGTATTCTACTAATTCTCATTTTCCTCTGAAGATTCAACTAAAGGTGGTGTTCTTCACTCACAGATACAGTGTTTCTGAATGCTGACTACAGAAAGACATCTCGGGGCAGCTGAATACCATCCCTTCTGTATAACTACCTGGGCAGATTCAGAATAACTGTGTGGTCAACAAAGAAAACCAAAGTATATACATCAGTGGAAAAGAGAATAAAGTGATATCTGCTTTATAGGAACAAGACATTCTTGTAGGGCCGATTACACTGCGACTCCTGTTCTGCTGGCAGTACTAGAGATACGTGCAGGTGGCATATTTTGCAGCCAGTAATCCAAAGGAAACTGCTGAAAAACAATCACATGATAAAGCATAACACTGAGAACAAAGGCAGACACAAATGGTCTTTGGATGGAGAGTGGTACACAACATGAAATGAGATGGAAAACAACTGACACTGGGACAGGCAGGACAGGCACATGAACAGTACAAGAAAAGACATGGAAGCCTGGAAAGGGTGGAAGCATATGGCTATACCATGTGCAACTGAAGTCAGCAAGAGCTGACTCAAACTGGCAAAAATGGAAGGATATACGTAAAGGTAAAAGAATGGTGATGCACAGGGTGTGTGTTGGTGCTGATTTCACAGGAATCTGAAGCTAAGTAGTCAGGAATTTGATGGAAGATGAAAAGCTGGTACACGCAATCTTTTTCAGCTGCTAAACTTGTATTAGGTGAAATTCACTCCATCATAACTGAAATGCATGCCCACTGTGAATGCCTCAAGCCACCACAAATTGTCTTTCAGGATCCTGCAGAGCCCTGTCATACATATGGTCTGGATCTTAAATAATTTTAAGAGGATCTTGTCATGTAAAACTCCAACAACTCACTAACAAATGTCTTGAAGTTTCAGCAGGAAAAATGCCCCTTTCTCAGTTGTTATCTAGCCT